AATGGATGACAGATTTCGCATGTGGACATATTTGCAAAACACGAGCATTTTTTTTCCTTTTGAAACTCGTACCCTTTGTGGCAGTAAGCGCATTTGCTATTTCAGTCACAAAGCCATGACAGTCGGCTTTACCGTTCTTTCTAATTACTGAGGCCATAATAGTTTCGACTGTATGTCATGGCAAAAAAAGTCATACCAAAGTAAAGTGATACTTCATTCCTATCAGTTCCATTGGGGTCATGTGAGAACGAAATATATGTCCCTCCCACCGTCCGCATGGTGTGTGTATAAATATACATGAACACACACGTGTTTTTATATCTCTGTGGGGGGGAGAAAAAAAGCTTAATGGTGACGATGGCGACCCTAACCCCCACCCAGCCCTAACCTTAACCGTAAGGAACCAAATAAAATACAAAACGTTTGGCATTTTTAGTTTTTTGATTACAGTCACAGATTTCCTCTTGTGGGGACCAAAAAAGAAGGTTACAAAAACAGGTGTGTGTGTGTGTGTGTGTGTGTGTGGTGTGTAAATTATGAATTGTGATAAAATCAAGTGAGAGTCATGTGATATACTCCATACAAAAACATGGATTTCACTGAATACCACATTCCATATCAGCATATCAGTTTCTGGGGGAGGTATTTAAACTCAGTTTAAATGAAGTCCTAGTGAATTTGCATTTAAAGACCTTTTCAGACTCATCTTCAATTTGTCTCATTGCCAGTTAGTATTCTAACATGAACATTTTTGTAATCATTGAAGTGCCGTTTCAAGATTTCGTTTCAAGATTTAAAGCGAGACGTGTGAAAAAAGCAAACGCAAGTTGCGTGACCTTCTGACATCAGATACGAAAAAATGCCAATGATCCCGTTTGTATTATTTCAAAGCCTGTCAGCCATCAAATATTGGTATTTATGTCTTTTTGCTGAACATCATACAAATGTCAACAACACATGCCGGGACACGCCGGGGCTGAGAGAGACACTGGCAGAGGCATCAGCGTTAATACAGTTTTCCTCTCAGCCGACAATCACGACTGGGTTCTCAACAGAGGACTACAATGCCGTGACTTTAAATTGCCCACATTTAAAAATAACTTTCATCAACCAAAGGGGAGCAGTAATAGAGGATTAGCCTTGTCGCCCGGGGAAACAAACACAAAGGTGACAGACAATGGCCGTGATGAAAGCAAACAAGGTACAATTACCCCAAGAACCGCTGGATTGTAAAGCAGATGAAATTTTTGTGACCCCCCTCCACGATTGCATGCATGTGTCATGTACACCTGTAGAATTGTGAAACCCAGTTACTGCACCCAGTTAGGTGGCAGATTAAGCCAAAATACTTCCCTGGAAAAACAGCTATAGCCTCCTGAGATCCAAGGAAAAAAGTGTCCTTCGATTGTAGTTTCTTTGGAGGAAATAAGACATCTTACAATTTAGATTTTTTCAAATTTATTTTTATTTTTAATTTCACAGCATGTCCTCTTTAGTGTACAACAGGAATTAATATGTTTCCGTACATCAATGAAAAGATGTAATACTTACATTGTAATTACAATGGACATAAATGAATGGGTGGGGTCTCCGGAGGATAGTGCAGGTATTGATCGTATCAGAAGGCTGATATGGTTTGCCATTACGAAGCACAGGGTTTCTTGCCTGAAGTTCATTCTGTAGTTATGTCTGATTACTCCCGAAGATCAACCATATACCATTTTGTGGGTGGAATCTTCAATGGTTTAACTGAGTAAAAATTGACTTCCTATGTAAAAAAAAAAAAAAAAAAAAAACACCAAGATGGCTATTTAGGGACACGTTTGTTTATTGTGAAACAAAAGCAAGTTAAACTGATCAAGCCATACAGCAGCATGAAGGAAGTGAAATCCATTGAAGGAAATGCAGAGGAATGCAAAGAAATGACATGGCAGCAGAATACAGGCATTGCTAATCAGGGACAGGTGTCTGGGAATGGCAGGACAATGGCGGCTCTTTGTTACGTCATCGCCTTTGCAGACGGCGGCATTCAAGCATCAGGCCTGTTCCCCCCATTTGAATCACTTCCTGTATGACATTCCCCAAACCACCAATGAATACACTTCAATATGTTGGGGGGGGGGGGGGGGGGACCTCACTGTGCTCAGAACAAGACCTGCAAGTCTTAAAATAGCTGTCAGTGACTGAGACAGGCCGCGGAGAGCCTTCCCCGCGTTCCGGACACTGTCTCTAGCGAGGCTGCACACGTCTTCTGCCAAATCAGGAACAAGCCGCCACTTCCCAGCTTCCTGCTCTACCAGTTGTCCCTGCTTAGGTAATGTCTTCTTTTTAGCTCCTCAAAGAGACGGCGGTTTTGGAGGTGGTCAAGCCCGACGACGCTCCCTCTAAGCATGGCGCTTTCCATGCCACTGCAAAGCACATCAGTCTGATCTTAAAAGAACACTGCCTTTATCTGAGTAATTATCGCACCCTTATCAGCCAGCTGATAGAAAGATGCATTGGTATTCTTTTACAATCAGAAATGTAGGCCAACAGACTGTTGAAGCCATGCTGATCTCGGTACGATTATATCTGAATCACACACGCAAAGCAGCCCATGACTTCAGATAACCCCGCATTATACAGTATATCATTCATTGGCCCTTATCTTTCACAAAAAAATATTAAAGAGAATAAAACATAGATATTAAAAACACCTATAAAGATTTAAACTAGCAAATTCTATATATAACGCTCATTTAGCACATGCTTTTATTTAACGCGATTGAAAAGGTGGCGTCGGTTAGTCACCAGAACAATTGGGATTGAGCGCCTTGTTCAGGTGCCCAACAGTAAAATCATTCTGGTGACCCTGGGATTGGAGCACGCGACCTTCCGATCACAGGTATAGCATCGTAAACAAGCCCAAAGCACGGACTGCGGGTGAGACGTGTGGCAGTCTGCTTACAAATAGCTATGAACATTCAAGGATACTAACCTTTCAAGGCTGCATCACATCGCAGTGAAACATGAAGTCAAGTGAAACAGAAAACTTACAAGAAACTGCAGATGTTACCAGGTCTGACTCCCCCCCAACCACACCGACAGCAATGGAGAAGGAGTTTAAGGCGGCGATAGCCAGCATCTAAAACATCTTCCAGTGGATGCCATTTCACAGTGTAAGAGAGACAGTGAGCAGAGTAATGAAGTTATTTCCCCTACCGTGAAGAAAAAAGGTTGCCTTTGTGAGTAAAAATGCTGCATAACTTATGATGGGGTTATGTTCAGATGACCCAATCGTAAGCAGAATATATTGTAAGTGGAATATGAATATGATTTGACATATGACACACTTTGGCATTTAACTGACATAACGGGCTTGGGAAGAATGGTTAAACACATAAAAAACACTGTATGATACAGTAATAAACACTGGATGATACGGTAATTAACACTGGATGATACGGTAATTAACACTGGATGAGATGTGCATACTGCTGAGAGCACCTACATAGTCTGTACGTGCTACTGAATGAACGCTCCATGACATCGCCCCAGTAGAAAGAATTGTACGACATATGGCCAGCCCAGGAACCAATCAATACTCAAAGTTTGATGACTACTAAACGTGTAGTATTGTCACGCCGTTGTAAAGCTGGAGTATCTTAAGGCAAAGCATCAAATAGCAAGGAGCATCTGTATAACATGATAAATAAGACTAACTCTATAAGACTAAATTATTCTTAAAGCCAAATGTATATGTCCAAATCATCTATAGTGATCAGCCATTACATTAAAACCACTGACAGGTGAAGTGAGTAAGATTGATTATCTTGTTGCAATGACTCCTGTCAAGGGGGCCATCATATATTAGGCAAGTGAAGTCAGTTCTTGAAGTTAATGTGTTGGAAGCAAGAAAAATGTGTAAGGATCTGAGAGACTGACATGGGCCAAAATGTGATGGTCAGACGACTGGGTCAGAGCATCTCCAAAGCGGCAGGTCTTGTGGGGTGTTCCTGGTATACAGTGGTCAGTACCAACCAAAAGTGGTCCAAGGAAGGTCAACCAGTGAACCGGCGACGGGGTCATGGGCGCCCAAGGCTCACTGGTGTGTGTGGGGAGCGAAGGCCAGCCTGTCTGGTCTGATCCCACAGGAGATCTACTGCAGCAGATACTGTTGGAAAGGTTAATGCTGGCCATGATAGAGCACACAGTGCAGCTTGCTGCGTATGGGGCTGTGTAGCCTCAGACCAGTCAGACCAGTCAGAGTGCCCAGGCTGCCCCGTCCACCGCCTGAAGTACCTACAATGGGCATGTGTCAGAACTGGAGCACAGCAATGGAAGAAGGTGTCCTGGTCTGAGTCACGTTTCCTGTTACATCATGTGGACGGTTGGGTGTGTGTGTGTCATTTAGCAGGGGAAGAGATGGCACCAGGATGCACTATGGGAAGAAGGCAAGCCGGCGGAGGCAGTGTGATGCTCTGGGCAATGTTCTGCTGGGAGACCTTGGGTCCTGGCATTCATGTGGGTGTAACTCTGCTACATGCCACCTACCTAAACGTTACTGCAGACCAAGTACACCCCTTCATGGCAATGGGATTCCCCGATAGCAGTGGCCTCTTCAGCAGGATAATTCTTCCTGCCACACTGCAAAAATTATCCAGAAATGGTTTGAGGAGCATGAAAAAGGTTTGAGGTGTTGATTTGGTCCCCAAATTCCCCAGATCTCAGTCTGATGAGGCATCTGTGGGATGTGCTGGACAATCAAGTCCGATCCATGGAGGACCCACCTGACAACTTACAGGACTTAACGGATCTGCTGCTAACGCCTTGGTGCCAGATACCACAGGACACCTTCAGAGGTCTTGTGGAGTCCAGGCCTCGACGGGTCAGAGCTGTTTTGGTGGCATGAGCAGAATGTTATTTAATGTAATGGTCAATCGGTTAATGTATTACACAAATCAGCTAGGAAGAGATCATGAAGATATCTTGATTTTGCAAATACCAAACCAGGAGAGACATTTAAGGTTTATCAGAAAACTACTTTAATGAAATGCTTACATACCAAATGCATGCTTGGTCGTTAATGATTCTTACAGTGATAGAGAAGTTACATGGCAGAAAGTGACATTTTTGCTCCCGAAAGCATCGTTTCCATTTTTTTCTTCCTACAAATTATTCACTAAAAATTACTTCAACAATGACGTAAATTTAACAATTGAAGAGTACGATACAGGCCACATACAGGTGAAACTTGGGCCACAGTCTTTAGAAAGATTTAAGGAAACACTGTTTCTCCCCATCTGCAGGACTGTTCCATCGCTTCAGGATTATGCAACCCTCGAAACAAAGGCAACCAGTTTTAGCAGTTAGTTTCATTACCGCGCCAGTCTGAACATGACGTTCATATGATATACCAACCATCGTCACTCATCAATCACGTGTCATAACCACTTAAAGAGCGATCAAATATCCAGGAGGGAAGCCGGTGTGGAAGGGACTGTCAGACGATGACATTTTAAAGTGACAAGTCCTTTTCTTTATTTGGCATTAACATTTCTGAAAAAATTAATAAAGTCTAGATGATAAATTCGGGATGGCATTTCAGTGGTGCAATTTGGTCAGAGAGAGAGGTGCCTTACAGAAATGTAAACAAACATTCTGGTTTTTACTTTTACAACCCAAAAAAAAAATTGCTGGTTTGGCAGCTTGTCAGGAGATGTAAGTGGATCTTAATGCTAACATCTGCTTCCATTCTCTTGAAATGGTTTTTTTTTTCCAACGTATTACAGTACATGAGACACACCCCAGCTCCATAAATGATAAAGAGGACAAAAAAGCATACTGGTTTAGCAAAATGCACAAAAACGAGGGAGGTAAACGTTCGACTGACACCTCCTGGCACAATGACGCAGACTATGACTTCAGTCATGGTCAAACGTGCACTACAACTTAATTTACTTCTCAAATTTAATTACAGACTTTTTGACCTAGACAAGAGATACTGTATTTCATAAGAGCAGATTCCCTGTCACTCTTCCAAGCAGAGCTTCACATGCCAGACACTTGCTTCATTTAATTACTTGAATGTTATAGCAAGTTTTTCCACATCTGCAAGCTAATAGGAATACAACTTGGAACTCTGGTTGGATGACAGGAGTGTGGGTCAGCCGTCCATTCTGACACCCTCAGCAATAATACTGCAATGAACGCTCGCTTTTATGGTGGGACTTCCTCAGCGTAAAACCGTCTTTTGCGACAGAAAGCTATCAGAACAAAAAAAAAAAAAGCATTTAAAGAAAAAGACCCAGATGGTTCTGTAAAACTGAAATAAAACAGAGGTTCATTAAATTACATGTTCATAAACATAACTGACACTGGACTGCCAAAATAATTTGGCTGTTTAAATTACTTAGGCGCCACTGTTCTTAGATGCAAACATTGTTTTGTGCACATGAACACACCATTGTAATACTCATAACTGCATTGTACTTGGTCAAACAGAAATACTAAAAAAGTGAGCCATTGAAACTGACCTATATAAACAGTATGTCCTGGAAAACTGCAAGTCTCCTTCACAAGTTATATAATGACTTGAATTATTTGAAATTGTACATTGATTTCCTTTGCCCTTCTGACTGTCCCTAAACACAGCAGCTCCCTGCATCACAGTTTAAGTCTGAAAATATTACTGGAACTAAGCTACATCTGGCATTGTTGGTGAGAGAGCAAAATTCGAGGTACAGTGTAGCTTACTGCTTCAAAGAGTGCTAAACATGAATGGAATTATCGCATCAATTTTTTTCTCTAGGGTCATGACACACAAACATTTTTCTTAAATATGTACATTCCAAACGTCCATCATCTGCATAATCTTCTTGCTTCTCTTATTGTGTTCTGAGTTGGTAATCTGTAAAACAGAGTTAGAAATTAGCATATTTAATTAACCGTCCACAAAAGAATATATAAAAACACAACAATTAAAATGTCCCAGCATAACAAAAGATCAGGAGGTACAGTATACTAGTATTATAATTGCTACTGATTCCTTTAAAATGTGACCATAGCCAACAGCACGTTACTCTGTCAACAGCTACTGAACATGGACCATGAAAATGATACATTTTGGTAGCCAGCAAAGTTCCGGCATCTATACCAGTTTTACTATAGTTTCGATATTTTAATATTTTTTTTTTTAATATTATTATCAATTAATAAATCCTATTTAGTTGTACTTTTCGTTGTGGTTTTATTAGTATTTAGCATACAAAGTGCACATTATGTGCCAATGTCCTCAAAATGGGCATCTATGAAGCTCTCATCTATACTGCACTATAAATACCTCCATAATACATTACGATGGCTTATACTGACCATTATAATGCATTATGAAGGTATCTATAGTGCATTATGAATAAGAGCTTCATACAGAATTCATAATGCATAATATAATACTTTATGAATGCATTGTGATGCATTATGAAGGTATCTATAGTGGATTATGAATAAGAGCTTCATACAGCATTCATAATGCATAATATAATACTTTATGAATGAATTGTAATGCATTATGAAGGTATCTAAAATGTGTGATGACTGCTTTTAATGTTAAAGGTTTTATTTCCGTTAATTTGGGAAGCAATACTTATAGTTTTTGTTTAATTGCAGCTCATTTTCATATATTTTATTTCAGTTTATGAAAATGTTTTCTTATACTTTTCGTTTTTGTCAACGACAACAGCCCTGAAACATACCTCTGATCATTTTAGAATAATGCTTTTATTCTTAACACCATTTATTGTTATTTTTTAGCCACCCACTGGAATGCAGCTTTCTGGGGAGATTCAACTTTGATTTAAAATATTACAATGAATATGCAGACAAACACTTTGCCAAACTGTGACTTAAACATGACCAGAATACATAAGCTATTAACTACTTGCGGGCAAAAAATTCTAGTTATGATGTTTTAGCTATTCAGTCTATCTAGATTTTGATCAGACAAACATACATAATCCAAATGTTTTCTAAATATTAAGTAATTTAAATAAATTAGAACAGGAAAAACTTATTCTGGAAGGATGTATAATGAAGGAAGTGTAGTAAGTATTGGAATATTTATTGTTTGACACCTGGCATTTATTGAGCAGAGATAAGTTTTCGATCATGGATAATCACGCACACCCGCCGACCGCCTGAAGGTATACGATACTATGAAATAATCTCCGTTTAAGAAGTGCCAGTTTTCCTGATAGCCAACGTTTCGACATCGGCTAGACGTCGGGATAGGTGAAGTTTTGACAAAAGTCGCGCCAAGCCCATAAAGATCGCTGATTAAATACCAAGGCTATGTACCAAACAAGGGGAAGAGAGAAGTAAACAAGACGCCAGATGGGAAGATGGCATCACAGAGCCTCCGGGCCTTCATGGCGGTGACTAACGGTGAGCCTGGCCACCATTCTGCCGTGCTGCCCATGTCACCACACGCCGAGTCTTTCCCAATCCGTTATGCGGAGCACAGGGCCTGAGCACGCATAGCCTCAAACGCAATGTTACGTGCCGCATTACTGGGCCAGCTCAGTAGCAAGAAACGGTTACCACAATCACAAATAACATACCATTGGCTGTCAAACAAAAACACTTCTTAGTTTATCTACAAGGTCAGCAAGTCAGTGAACCACAAGGCCAAAAGTATCCATTATTGTTGCTGAATTTAACACATTAATACATAGCATCAACATGGCCTGTGCATATATTATACACATACATAGTATATATTGCATGCATTGCACACACCAAATCATGCAAACGGTTACAATGTCCACCATTGGTTGACTGCATTTCTGCAAGGCCCACACCACCGTACCCCATGTTGGCCACGCCCCCTTTCCGGCATATATAAATATCCCTACTCCGCCTGCGCTCCATCAAAAATCCATTGGGCTCCTACAAGCCTCCGCCCCCCTCCATTTCACCTATCAGAGAACACAAAGCACACAGAGCAGAAATATCTCCTACAGCTGCAGTTCCCACTGCAGGTTTACTTAACATTTCCCTCGACTTTCCCCAAAACAGCACATGAGTTTATGCGGCTGCATTTGACCATCTTTTGACGTGATCCTTGTAAATACAGGTTGCAATAAAATGTTTTTTCTTTTTTATGCTCTAATGTAATTCACATCCGTTCTACACATTTGGGTCTTAAAAAGTTTACTCTGAGGTAAATGTGACAGACAAAGAAGAAACTTTAAAAGTGTATGGGCTTGTTTAGTGCGTCACACTCATGGCAAATAGAAATGCTTTAAAACTTGACTAAACAAGTGGTAACATCTGTTTAATGTGGTCCCTCCAAAGCTTACAGTTACTGGCTGGACAGCCTCCATACTGGGGGGAAAAAAATCATTAAAGAGAAGTTTGTCATGGAAACGGAACAGTATAGAATACTCTGACAAACTGACGAAACTCTCGTTCCCAGCGGAGGCCAAAGCAGTCTGGTTCTCATTGGCCTTTAAATCACATCCACATTAGAGTAATTAGAATGGAGTCTGTAGTGGACAGAGTTTGTGCGGTTGCTAGGGGACCTTTGGGGCACTAAGAAAATAGTGCACATACCTCAAACTGAACATTTTTTCAAAACGCACTGAAGAGATTTCAACGTTTACCCGAATGTCCTTTACCAAATTATTCTGATTTAAGGAGACACATTAAGAAATATCAATCAGCACAGTGATAAAGATTCCACTGGGAAGCATGGGGATGCTATGAAGAGCGTTATGGAGGAAGACCTACATGGTGAGCGGGAGACAGCCTCGACTTCACAGCATCTCAGAATAACTACTCAAAAGTTAGCTGCCTGGTATTTCAACACACATTTACCACACCTAATTCCATACCATTACACGTCCATGCCACACAAAATAAAATTTGCACCCTGTACGTTTTATTTTCAAATTATTCAAATCTAATTTGGCTAGAGCAAAGTACTTGTTTGTCTTCAAGCAGCTGTTGCTTTCCTTTATGAACGTTACCTGCAGAACCTGCTATGATGAGGTGCTTGAATAAAGACTAAAAGAAAGACAAAGAAAGAAAAGGTTCGGTGCTCCAAATTGTGCAATTAAATGTGATCACTGCCAGTTCTTCTTTAATTGATGTTAATCTGTGCAAACCTGAACATTCCTTGTTCACTTTGCCCAAGAAAAAAAAACAGCGACCAAGAGAGTAAACAGTGTGTCCACAGAATGACTCACCCCTTTGCTTAAAGCAAGAAACATGCAAAAATCTCTCACATGTGTGTGTGTAGCTTTCAGTCAAAGCGGACCCATCACCAGACATGCGGATTATGTTTTTTCTTTAAAACATTTCTCCATCTAAATGTCAGTAGCTTTCGGCCAATTAAGTCGATGCTGGAATCGTTGCTGTTTGTCCCGTACGTAATGAAAAAACGAGGGGAAATAACAGCACATTCAGGGTGATCCATTTTTCCCAAGACAAATATTTGCGCTGATAAATACTTCAGCCAGAGCGTAAATGAAATCAGCCCTGCATCCCTCTCTGCCTTCCTTCCCCTTAAGTGTTCTGGCTGAAACACTGCGCATCACACAAAATGCATCAAATCTTGTTGCATGCGACCAACCAGTCGCACATTGTTTTAGCCTGCCGTCAGATAAAGCATGGCATCTTTCATAACAAGTGTGAAGCAAAATTGACACACTAGCCATTATACATAATTATGTATAATTAGCTATTTACAGTGAAGGTATTTTGCAGATACTGCTTAAATTCATGGAATGCAGGATAGCACTGGAGTGTGATTATCACACAACAGTAAAAAAAAACATATTCCAGGCTATGTATGTGGTATTACGAAACACCTAAAGATACACTATCCTTCTTCTGTCCTCCCTATATTCTTCACCGTCAAAAAGATTTGGGGAGGGGGAGGTACAGTTTCACAGTGCAATTTAGGGTGGATTTTAAATAACCATACGAAATATGGAAAATACAGACCATGACATGGTTTGCAGGTGGTGCTCAGCACTGAGGGGAGGGTCTCCAGCACGGAGCTGACGGCGTAGCCGACGCAAGTGACTTACGCCATTGTGAGCATTAATGCTTGTGCGCTGCTGTGTCTGTGTAACTTTGCAATTACATCACCAAAACACTATGTGAGTGCGTAGTGAGTTCTGCTAAAACATTTCCACTCTGTTACTGGAAAGACGACTTGGCAAGCTTTGCAATCTTAATGATTGCTCCTTTTCAAGATAAACTCGTACACACTTAAAAATCAGTGTGAAGTTTGCCACGACCACTGCTTTTGCATGAGATCTTCATGCACGCTGTGACGCTACCAAGCCGGCTAATCACAGTTGTTCCGATGAGCCCGTCGTGATGCGCAGTTACATTTCTGGGGAGGTCAGTGTCAGGTAGTCAACATGGCTATGCCATACATGCCAGTCATGCAGTGTCACATGCGGCAGACTGTCACCAGACCTCCACCAGGCACGACATGTAACTGGCAGGAAGCCTAGACGCCTTCTATGAGGGGTCACGACAATGACAGTGGATTCAGGGGGAAACAAGTCCTTTCAGATTAGCAGGACAATATATATATTTTTATCTTGGCCAGTTATATATATATATATATATATATATATATATGGAGCTATATATAGCCAGGGTCTTTAAGGTGTAACATGTACTGTCAACACATGACCTAATGAAGCTTAGCAAATGGGAATTTCCATATCATTCACATGGTTTCAGAGATTACTGGAGGTAGAATGTGGGGGGGGGGGGGAATCAAAAAATATTTCACACACCCACTGACAGATACGTTCAGCTGGAGGCATATTTGCATATTACAAGCTGCGTATCATGGTGCTGTGAGATGCAGACTGCACTACAATGTGATAAACTCCACCGGTTTCACCACAGATATTCGACGAAAAGTTTTCGAAAGGCTGCGGACGTCAAGTTAAACTTCTCATCTTAGCCGAAAGTGTTCTTAGCCTCTGGAGAGCTCTGTAAAACACTGATTTAATTAGGGGCAGATTGAAAATATTCCTGCCCCCCTCCCCCTCGCGCATTCCTGAGCTGCTCGACACTCTCGTAATAACACTGACACGAGAGCTAACTGACACAAACGGTTCAGAGCCGAGGCGTAACTGCTGCATCCCTCAGGGCTGCACTGAGTCATCCACTGATCCCAGCTCAGTCTCTCAAGGGCAGGGTCTCTCTGCAGTGCCACTCTGCAGTGCCAATGGAGGCCAGCAGTCTGTTCCAGTGCATTCCACGCACTTTCGGTTTATCCTTTTTGTTGCAAAAAACATTTCATATACATGTGAAATATTTGCATGTGACCTCTTGTTTTCCGGCTCATTAGAGACACTCTCACACACATCTCAGGCGAGCTGAAGAAAAAGCTGGACTCAAGTACAGGATTAAAAAAGCCACCGGCTGCAATCGAACGGCACAAAGCTGACAGGCAGCGGATTGACTGCAGTTTCTCAGCCAGTCGGTCACCCTACAAAGTGCTGGTAAACTAAAAGCCGTCACTAGTGTCACGATGGCTGTCTTGTGTTGACACTTGAAGCGTGAGCAGATACGGCTGGACAGTGAGGAGAGGGAGGGAGGGAGAGAGGGAGGGAGGGAAAAAAAACAAAACAGAAAAGAAACATGGAGAAATAAAAGAGACGCTTTGGAGCAGAGATGGAACCTCTTCGGCCAGAATACAAAACAAAAACTTCCTGTCAAGAAGCGACCTCCCAGGATTAATCCTTTCCTTTTGTCGATATCGTATGCGATTAATACATCAGCCTGGTGGTCATGGCTTGCATGTTTGCATTCACAGGCATAATTCATGCGGAGGCCGTTTGTTCTGGGTGGGACAGCTGGCCCCAAGAAGCCAAGAACAACGATCCGGTCTGGACGTTTCCTTCCTGCCAATCAGAGGCAGGCTGAGCTCCCCTTAGCCATCTGCACAGATAACTGGATCAAGACAGTGCTCAGAAATCACGTGCTGGGGTGGGGATGTAAGATAATGCGTTCAGCAGCAGGAGTTCGCGTCGCTCAAACTCTTCCGCTTTTACATGCAGTCCAGCAGGATTAAGTCCCACAGCAATTCAACAGGCCAGGTATGGAGGACCTAATGTTTTAAATCTGCATTTTGGATTTTACCCACCATCTCTACCTAGTCAAACCACCCCTGGCTTCAGCGGGACCGAGGGGAGACGGCCGCATACTCTCCACTTCTCCTAGCAGACCACCCAGAAATAATTTATTAAAGTTTTTGACTTTCACATTTCACCTACGGCATCGGCACAAAACGGCCCATTTTACTGCCACTATGCGGGCTAAGAAACATGAATTTTACAGATTCCTGTCTGTGACAGGCGGAGACTGGAAAAGAACATTGTGAGAAAACAGCTGTTTTATTGTGATATGAGGATTGTAATAAAAGCGAAACACGGAGGGGCGCGAGCAGAGTGCTCAGAGTGCTCCAGCTCTGCACTGAGGCTGCACACAGAGTGCTCACACCTCTGCAGCCGGCATGTTATTCCCTTGTTCGCAAGACAGCCACATTTAACAATACAACAGTATTCAAGAATGCAAACATGTCATAAATTACAGCGTACAGCAAAGGGACAAACTTTACAGGATCTGTTTACACATTTCCTGAATGGAAACTACAAACATCCCACAATTCGAACAGCTAGTGTTGGGTACAAATGGCATTACAAAAAGGATAGACTGAATGTGAATGTGCCAGTTTAGTGATTTTTGTTCCGAAAAAAGTTCACAGATCTCAATTGCACATGCGGAACGGGGGCCCGAGAAAGCTTCGAAAACGTTTGAACCAAGCACAATCTGTCATGCGAAACGTTTGTCATGACGCCAAGCTCCTACTCGCCCCTTTTTTAAATGATGGATTATTAATGATTCAACAAGTGAATTCAGCATAAACAAAAATAAAAGCCTGTCCATTCAACTAACTCAGTAACTCAAATAGTTTTAACGAACAATGTCCAATTCAGATTCCATGCTCTAATTAACTACTCAGTTTAATCCATGATACAAACCCATATCAAAAGAGCTGACTGCGCTTAAGAACAGAAAGCTTAGCTTAAATGTCTAATGCAAAGTTTTTAATCACATAAACTGACTTTTACGGCAGTAATAAATAGCAGAACAGAGATGGTGCTGATGAGGCAGTCATCAGATTTTCACATGACAAATGGTTAAAGTTATGTAGCTGTGGATGTTACATTAGCCAAGTACCGAGAACGAGTGACGATTAAACAGTAAGAAGGGCAGTGGGGGGGTCTGAGCAGACTTCCTTACCTCCGTTCTGAGTGATGTATCGCACCCACGGCAGGGCCTGGTACCCGCTCTTCTCAATGATCTTCAGGTAGCGCACCTGAAAGGTGATGCAGGAGTGTCACGGTCAGAAGGCCACATCAGCGGGCCCTCTCGCCTTATATGGTCGTGCCCGCTGTGGATTCTGACCAAAGTCACCCCAGACCGCGAATAACGGCGTGTGCCAAATGCTACATGCTTGTCCAATGGACAGTATAGGACACTGCGCCTGTGCTTTTCACCCACGCATCAGCACTGGCTGCACTGGCTGCACTGGCTGCACTGGCAGGGCCTGCTCCAACTTTAACTGCACTGCACAGGCCTTGGGGCTGAGGCCATCAGGACATCACTCAGAATCAGTGCCAGTAAACCATGGGAAATTTGTACCGCAAAGAACAACATATGAAGAAGTAGTAGTTAAGAAACTGCAGGTATTAATAGAAATTGGGGAAATGGCACCTTTCACTAGTTATAAAACATGTGCTTTTTTCCCTTCTCCTTGTGAAACTACAACAGAGTTTGCAGGGGCCAAGGAAAGAAAACATTGCATAATTTTTTTGTGAAATTACAACTTATTCTACACATGGCAATGCATTGCATAAGCTGAAAAAAATGCAATAAAATGGAAAAAAAAAGCAAATCTAATTTATAATTCTGGGGGGGAAAACTAGCTGCTAATGGTCATTTACAATAAACTGCACTTTATATTTCTGTAATTAGTGTCAATTAAGTTTATTAAACAAGGAGGTTACTAGGCAAGCCAACTGCCATCCGTCCTCATCAAAGATAAGGATCTTCTGCTTGATATTTCACATTGCCGGAGAGCTGAAACGCAGATCAAATATTAACAGACTGACAGAAAATGAAATCTCTATGAAGACATTTCAACTTTCAATTTTGTTATCCGCGCAACAGTTTTACTATGATTATCCTCTGCACTGAATCACAGGACAAAGTTCCTTACGAGTTTAATTTTGCTAAACAAAACAGAAAATCACTTTCAAGCATTTTAAACGTTTTAAACACACAAATGTGCTGCAGCCAGTTATGCTGTTACCTCTAATTCCTGCTTTTCTAAGTATTTAGAGACCAAATAAAAAAACTAATAAAAACAGAACAAGGGCAGCATTTGTATTACACAGCTGGCAACAGAGAAAATGGTTACAGCTAAACTGAAACTTGATAGTCTGTAAACAACTCTGGGGCCCCGCAGTTCAGCCGGCCCAGCACCGGGGCTGCCAAATCACTGGCAATATGCGTGAAATTTTTATTTCAGCAAGCAAATATTTTATCCGGGGGGGTGATAAATCAGAGCTTTGGGCTAATGGAGGTGCAGAGGAAGCGCAGATGGGGTAAGAGGAGGCGGGCCCCTGTGGACGTGTCCGGGGTCGGCCAGCTGAAAGCCTGGCAGGAAGCACACGAGGGCACCACACTGCCACGGCCACTCCCAAGAAAGTCAGTTGTTGGGTTTCGCGAGGTCGAGCGCATGACCGGGCACTGGGCACGCTGATCACGGCCGTCTACGATCTACGATCTACGATGCAGAGGTGAGCGACAGCGCAGCGCATCCTGAATGCACTCGTCATCACCTGGGCAGTTTGCGCGGCCAAAACCATCTCAGAGCCCCGGCCATTGGCAGATCGCTCAGAACAAAATTGCCCTGTTCGCTCAAAGACACAGGAAGAGAATCCAGGAGGTGATTCACTGTGTAGAGAAACCTCCTAATTCCACGAAGGCATCCGCACGGTTTGGTCCTTTGCAGAGAAGCACACACACAACTCCCATAATCAGAGGTTTCATTAGAAATATTAACAAACTTAATAAAGGGGCCAGGAGATCATGCGTGTGACACGCAGAGCATGATACACACGAACCGGAAAAGCCTACAGGTGCGTGCTGAAGGTTCTTGGTACAGCGTGGAGATTCGTGACAGCCCCGGGTCCCTGGAAATTAGTTGACATTTTCTGCATCAAATAATGCCAAACGTGTACCTGAATATTTGTGCCTGCACACCAGAAACCAAACCATGTACTGACACAGTAAACCAGTCAAAGCTGACAGCGTGCGTTTCGATATCGCCGACTGGCGGAGCCGCGAAAAACAGCTATTTCTGCCTCTTGGAATGAGAGCTCAGCCACTTGAGAATCTACTCAAAACGGGTAAAGCGGCAGCACCGAAACCTCAGCAGAGACGTCATTTTAATCACTGCCCCGGGAGCGCTTGCTCGCGCTACCTGGAAAGATCTCATTTATACTCTTTCACAGAAAGTTGCTATAACAACCAGAGGAAACAGACTTCAGCAGCACTGGCCAGCAGGCTGGCACTGTCAGCAGCTGAGCGACTGCAGTGTGCAGCTCCCCACACGCCACAAGGAATGCGTGTGGTGCAGTGCATCGTCGCATGGTTTGGACTCCGCATACGGCTTCTGAGTGGCACTTATAAAGCCATAAATGAAGCCCTGATCTGTGCTGCTGACCCATCAAAGGGATCAGAATTAACCAGAACACAAGCTCTCTGAGTCAGACTCACCACTGCATATTTTCTGACCAAACTGGGCCCCAGCGTCTCTTTTCAATGCCTAGTGACCCCCCACACCTCACTGTGGGTGAAAGTTTAATTCTGATGAAACAGCCATTCGCTGACGCTCTCGCCCGGCGTACATCTGAGCCGCTGTTTTGGTAAAGGTGATAAACTGCTTAACTAAACCCTAGCTGGAACACGTGTTGTTAATAAGCAGTACTAACCTTTCAATGAACTCAGCAGATGTGAATAAACACTACATCATAATGAGAGGAGGAAGAGCAGCGGCCAGCTCTATTTGATTAAAAAATGTTCCGTATATGTGAAAACTTCCTCATCTACCGAGAAATTCGAATCTAATGTGGTTTTTCTGGGTCTCAGTTCCGTGTGGGATGCCTAATATTCAATGGATGTCAATCGAGTTTAGATAAAAACAAAAAATTGAACATAACAAGAACATCATTCTAGAAGAAAAAGTACTCTGTCTTCTCACATCCAATCAGCGGCACATCACTGCCTTCCTGCAGGACTGTGAAGTTGCAAACATCGGAGAAGTCGCAAACCGTGCTGGGCAGCATGCTGCGCTGCCCATGCGCCATCGCATATTTACGCGCTCAATTCTGCAGCGGTCCATGGGTGAGGACTGGAGCCGCTGGTGTGAGACGCTCATCTGCATTAAAGCGCGCGGATAATTAACAAGGACGGAGGAGATGGGAACCGGCACGCAAGTCGTTTTTAGGATTTACTACAGAGAAAAGAGGAAGCGTGCGCACAAAAACCTGCCCTGGAGAATAACGAAAAATAAAACCAACATCAGGCTGCGAAGATGCTCTTCAGAGACGTGCAATCGTATCGTCAACTGAGGATGAAAATAACACCATGTTAGCATGTGACGCTAATGCAGCCTCGTGATGGCATGTATCTGAGAGCGGCCTTCCAACAGCAGGCCAGATTAAGAGCGCCCATTAAACACGAACTCGCTCTTTAAAAGTTCCTCACTCAAACACTTCTCTGTTATTTATTTTACTGCTGGGGGAGGCAAAGTTAACAGCACATTTTGATGAAGCCTGAAATTTCTTCACTGGTGTGTTTTTTCTTCTTTATAAACCAGGAAATTGGAAACAATGCTGGAGGGGCACCTCAGTCCAGCGTAAATGAAAAGACTTTCCTTTCATTCTTCCTCTGAGAGCGCTGGATTGCTGGCAGTAGATGGGGAGGCTGATTACACCTCCCGGGAACCTGGCCAGAGTGCAGACAGCAGGAATCTCCCAGAACCGGGAAAGCAACACTTCAGCTTTCCAAGTCACAAAGCACCACGGTGCTCTGAAAGGACTGGGTCCCCCGGCACCCCAGCCTACACCTACAGCTACACTTAACCCACAGCAGCTCAGTAAAACCCAGGCATCCATCACCTACATCATTTTCTCAGTGGTCATGTCCTACAACAGAATTGCTTTATGGTGGAAAATACAAGAAACATTTAAATTTCCAGAAAATGTCACCCTGTTTTACATTTGCGTGTGCTGTACGTTCATTTCAGACTGTGATCTTAATTCCCTCTAATCACCATCAGAGATTATTTCAGTTGACCAGAGATCTAACAAAGCGCCCTAAGAAACAGATATCTGGTCATTGATGAAGCAAGAGCGCCATCTTATGGCAGAGTGAGGTTCTACGGAATTTGAGAAGACAAACCCTGATTGGCTGAGTCGGGCACTACAGGACCTACCTGAATCCCAGAAGTGGTGAAGTAAGGGATTTCAAACTTCACACTGATGGGTGGCTTCCCCTCTTTGTCCTCTGCCTCCACACTAGGCAGCCCGAAGTGTGCCCGCATCAGGTACTCCTTACCGCCCTGAGGGACAGCGCCACCGTCAGGGCTTCCAGCAAATTACGTTTGCAAATTAGAACTGACCAGAGTCACAGGAAAAACATACTGGAGGTGTACAAATGAAGAGACGCCAGATACAAACATCCTGTTCCTCTAAATAGTCATGCTTAGTGCTGGGTATTGATTCAAATTTCAAGAATCGGTTCGATTCCGATTCTCAAGATTTAGAATCGATTATCACGATTCGATCCAATCTGTTCTGATCCGATCCGATATCGATTCGGGTCAGTGTTTTTAAAACAGTTTTTTTTTTAGCCGTTACCTTAATTACATGACTATGTAGTTGTGCAACATATTAATACTAGTATTATATTGACATTCAATGACAAATTAATGAAGTATTGAAAGTTAAAGATGGCTGTAAGGACCAATCCTTATTATAGAAATATGAAAAAACCGCTGACTAAATCCGTAATCGGTCTTCTTTTCAAAACGTCCACTGTCGGAAGTATTAAAGTTTTTAAAATTAGGTTAAATCAAGTAAACCAAGACACCTTATTTTGTTTTAACCCAGATCGGGGGCGTGTAGTACCGCTGCCATTGCTTACTATGCACTTTTATAATGTGTCTGCAATTGTTCCAAACTGCATTTTGCAATGTCTATACTTTGATGTCAAATTACAAACTTAACATAAATCTGACATATTTACAAAGTCATACACGCTCAATTCAGGGGTACTGATTTCTTGCAGTGAGGCTCAGGCTCACCGGGAACGACTTGATGGACCAGACTATCTCACTGTTCTCTGGTATCCACTTCACACTGCCCACTGTGGTCTTGAACTTGGGCGAGTCTGCGTCAGTGGGGACAGGAATATGGATCTCCACGTTGTTGGCAGTCGACCTCCTCTTGAACTGACTCTTGGCCTATGGAACGGGCGGAGACCAAAGTTTGTGTTTCAGAGGTCTGCACAGAGTGAAAAATCAAATCAATGCAGTCGAAAGCAAATCGACACACCCAGCTTAGGGCACCTTGCATTTTTACATGTACAGGACATGGTCAGACAGACAGGAAGTCTCTCACTGTAATATTATCGGTCTGTGGGTGGTGGTGTAGCACATGCTACCAAAGCAGCAAGTGCCCTTACAGTGAAAATGAGGGCGATGTTCACCTTGATCATATACTCGATGCGGCTGTGCGAGTGCTTCTCAATCACCGACTCGATCCAGATTAAGGGCTTCACCTGCTACACAAATGCCCATTACACACGCACATGCCATTAACACGTCACCGCGCCCCCTCCCCTCCATCATTACGGTACATACATGCGTGTTGAGGCGGTAGGACATGAGCTCAAACTCGCCATCTGGTGGTATGAAGGAGATGGTGCGGTCGTTCTCGAATCGGGAAAGGCGCACGCACTGGTGGAACTTGACGTCCTCCAGCTCCACAGACTTGCTCTTCCCTCCTGTGGATATCAGCAAACCAGACAGGATGACAAACAGATGTACAGTCAGACCTGGGACATTCGCCAGGTTCCAGAACCGTAATATATGCTTATTTCTATAGTTTAAACCAGGGGTCTCAAACTCCAGTCCTGGGGGGCCGGAACCCTACACGGTTTTTGGTTTCCCCTCGTTTAACACACCTGATTCAACTCCTTGTGCTAATTACCACACAGCCCTTCAGCTGAATCATTTGTGGTGGAACTAAGAACTAAGCTACACAGGGCTCCGGCCCCCCAGGACTGGAGTTTGAGACCCCTGGTTTAAACCCTAAATATGACCCCAGTAATGCTCCCAAAACACATTAACTACATTACCTCTTATACACTGTTATAATTACCTTTAAAAAAAAAAAGTTTGATGTAAAAATAGAGTACAGTATTGCCTAGCGGCTATTTATGACACTAGTACATTACAGTACAGTATACTAATGTTACCCCTACTAATTCATAGAACACTGGCTGGTGTTTTCTTTTGCATTCACAGTAAGGTAAAATGAGTAAACAAACAGGACTGTAAACTAATCAACAGAAGTCATATACGTAACCAAGGTACAATTAAATAAAATACGTAAAGGAAACATGTACTGTATGTACAGGGAACAGGTGTTCAATCAATTAAAAATTACGTAAAGATGTACAGAAATAATAAGTTGTAAAAATACTATGTGTGCGCTAACCACGAAAAAAACGTTAACTTACTATTACGAAATAGTAAATGAACTATTTTTTTATATTTATGTAACCATTAGCATTCCAAAGGGAATAAACGTTGCAAATGAGACATAATGTACATAAAAAGGAACGTTTCCATAAGAAAGTCACGTTTTTAAGGGATTTTTTTTTTTTTTACTGATTTATATTGTATGTCTTGAACTTTCCCCCAAAACACAGTAGAATCTTCATTAACTATTTTTTTCTTACCAATTTTACACTTAAAAGCATGAAAACTTAAAAATTACTACGAAAATTAATCATAAACAAGGGTTTTTTGAGGATTTCGCATATATGTCCTAGAATACTGTGTGCAGGTTTGGTCACCATACCTCAAGAAGGACATTGCTGCTTTAGAAAAGGTGCAACGAAGAGCTACGAGAATGATTCCTGGTCTTAGAGGA